CTGCACTAGTATCAGATTCGGAATTCATGAACTAGTTTTACGCCTTATGTTGGTTCAATTGACATGAAAAAAGACATATGATAGAGTGATTGTTTCTTATTGTTGCGCAGATAACCGTGAAAGTACTACGTGGTGATCGCATAGAAAACATCCCTGTAGTCCTCGAACCAAAGGTTGAGGAGTCTTAGTGTCACAATTTTTGTAATGTTATTAAGAATCCACAAGGAGGATGGAATTTTTCAGTGATGTTGCTGGAATTTAATTTTTGAGCTATACTTGTTGTGGTCTGAAATGTGGTCTCAAAACAAATACCACAAGGAAACAATGTCCAACAAGCCAGCATTTTTCCATCTATTTGAGTACCAGTGCGAATCAACCCAGTAGACTAACTTCAAACTACACGAGTAAAACCAGTTAGAATATCAAATCTAAAAACTAGAATCGGTAGAACAACAATATATGATTATAGAACAAGTTGAAACCAAACTCGTATTATAATTTTACTCACTACTCATATTATAATTTCACTAATTTCCAAGGTACATGAAGTAAACAATTTTACTTCAACCAAAATGTACCAATTGACTGTACTAAACTAATCGACTACATTCATATTTACAACATGCCGCTTGTTACCACAACATTACTACTTCAACATGCCGACTAATCAAGCCGTGTCTATCCCCTTCAGTTTCCCTTTAGCGGGTAATTTTTCTCGGCGAACGAGACATTCATAGTCACAGAAATCAAGAGTTCTTCATTATTTAACCGAACTTGAGATTGGAACATTCGCGTAGCAACTTCTTTATTCACCGCTAGTTTAGCCCTAATACTGTTAGATTCACCGATTACTTCTCCATCTTTGCACCAATCCCAAAACCACACTTCACACTGCAACATTTGAAGAATTTGCCTTTATTAACGGTGTCTCTTTCAATCTCGAAAAACTTCTGAAATCTATGCACACAAAGTGGACATCGACGTTTTATCGGGCAATCACCGAAAAAGTGTCCAACACTCCTGCAACCGTGGCAAACTCCGAAACAAACCAATTTACATACTCAAAGAGATATGTAAATCAAAACTCAAAGAGACTCTCCCCAAGTGAAATGCTAGCAGTTGTCAATATATATCCAATAGGCATGATGGCAAGGGAAAAGAAAATTCAAACATAGTTCGGTGTTTTCACAGAATGAAGCAGAATATAATGTGCAATTTACTGCCATAAAAAGAAAAGGAGAAATTTATTACAGGTGAACAATGAAATGCAGGTCCTAGTGCCAAACAAAGAACACCTGAAAGTAATTGACATTATTACAAATGATATTCTTAACATTCAGAATACTAGTATCAACGAAGATTTATGCAGATTCTGTAAGGCAAAAGAAAAACTTGATAGCAGCATAAGCACAAATAAGTTAATTTTGCTTGTATCAAACTCAAACACTTATAATACAAAGACAACCCAGAATCATGATATTACCATCGAGAGCTTCTTTTAGCGTCTCATTTGCCTTAAAACATACACACAGCATAAATTATCTCAGAACATAGGGTAAAAAAAATTGAAATTCTTTCACCTAGCCTTTGGTGTACTGAAATAAAAAAATCTCACTCACATTACTAAAGGAAAATAACGCCAATTTCTCAATCATCAACGCCATCAATCCGCGTTAGCAATACTACAACGATTCAGGGATGAGATTTGTCGATCGATTTTTTATGGTATTCGACTGTCTCTGACACGGCGTTGGCTTTCAAAATGGTGAGGATCTGGGAGTAATGTACAATGCTGGAGTTGACTGGCTGCCAGAGGTGGGGATGACGCCGGAGGTACTGATGCTGCCGCCTTGAGTTGCTGCCGGAGGTTTGTGATTTGGGAGGAAGGGTTTGCTAGGGGTTGATTTGGGAGAAATGGGGAGAGAGAAACGGGGAAATGGGAAGAGAGAGAATGATGTTAGCTTTTCTAGTTTTTAAGTTTTCTTTTTAATCCATGCCACGATACTTTGTCAAACTATTTTGTTAAGGCACTTTGTACACATAGCGCGGTTGATTATTAACTCTCCCACAATAGTTTCTTTTCTACATACTGAAATTAGTATAATATATCATGTTTACTTGATTGTAAAGTGTGGCTAATTCGCACTTGTTCTCTAGATTGGCATCAAGGGAATCTTACTTTAATCGGCCAACATAATACTTTATCTCGTATAAGATCTTTAATGTTGCAAAATTCGTACTTGGATTTAAGATTTATGGAGACATAATTATCGCATGTTATGTCAGTTGATTTAAATAATTCAAAATACTTAACACTGTAGGTTGATCAACAATCAACATTGAAGGTTAATTAATAGTTGAATGTGCTTTCTTCAATTGGTTGTCCGTTTGTTTCGGATTAAAATTAGATTTTAATCTAAGTCAAAGTCAAACAATCAATATTAACCACATTTTTCGTGAGTCCCACAACTTTTCAATCACACATTTCAAAAATTTCTATCACATCTACTAAAAATCTAATTTTAATTCCCACCAAACACCCATGTAATATACATGATTTCCAATTCTAGCAGGAAATGGAGTGAAACAAATACTCAGCCCTTGTTTGATTCCCATTTTAGGGGTAAAATATATTATGAAATAGTAATTTTTTGAAAAATATGTGGTTAAAAAGTAAAGATTTTTTTTTGAAATACGTGTATAATTATTTTATGGAAGAATGTTTGGTTGAAAATGAGTTTTGAAAGAATATATTATTGAAAAAATGGAGCTCAAGCGGGGATTCAAATATATATTTCCCTTTATTTATTGTTATCCAAAACTTTTTTGCTAAAATTTATTTTCAATCACACATTCTCATAATAAAATATTTTACAAGTAAATCTAAATTTTTTCCTTAATTTTTAACTATACATTCGTTAAACATACGATCATCAATCAAAGAAATTCATTTGTACGTTAGTAGCCTCCTCTTACCTACTCTCTGGACAAATCAACAAAAAAATAAAAATGAAATCAAAAGAGAAAAAGGCCTATCGACCCCAAGCAAAATCCACGTATCTCTGCGATTGATTTTCGATAATAGTAGTGATGTATACATTGAAAATGCAAAGCTTTGAACGTTGGACTATTTCCGATAATAGTAGTGACGTATTCATAACGCTTTGTAACACTAAATCTTTCTTAGAAAATTGTCTTTTCTAATTTTATTGCGGCAAGCACAAAACTATCAAATGGGTGTAAGATGTACATATTTGCTTAGCATGCGGAAAACAATAAGACACGAAGGAAAATACAACTAGATGCGGATGTGGACATGTCAACAAGCCGAGCCCCGAGTTCGAGCTTTTTTGGGCCCGAATCGAGCAAAACCCGGCCAAAAAAATGAGGCTCGGCCCGAGCCTAAGTGGGCCGAGCAAAGTCGGCTCGGGTTTTTTTGAATTTTTTATTATTATTATTATTATTATTATTATTTTTATAAATTGAAGCCAGCTATTTTTAGCTGCCTGTGTTGCCTTGGCAGACCGCCGAAAATAGCAGGCAGCTCTTTTAATAAAATTTAATTAATTTTTTTTTAATAATGGGTAGGCTCGCCCGGGCCCAAGGCGGGCCTGGCTCGAGCTTTTTCCTGGCCGAGTTAAAGTCGACGAGCTTTTTTGTCATCCCTAGGTGGGTGAAATATATCGTATGCTCAAACTTCACTTCTAAAAATTGAAGATGTATAAAAAAAACACCTTGTAAAATGTATGATGCCCCGCCCCGCCCCGAATGGGGCGTAAAAAATCGCCCCGAACGGGTTGGCGAGGCGGGGAGGGGAGGGGCGCCCCATCTCGGGGTGGGGTGGGGTGGGGCAGGTCGGGGCGCCCTGAACCCGCCCCGTGAACCATTAAAAAAAATATCCATGTATTCTCTACTAAAATACATGATGAACAATACTTTTTGGAAGTAGAGTTATAGATTTATGTTCTTAAATTTGATGAACAAATGTTTTTTGGAAGTAGAGTTATTTATTTCCTTAACCGTATAATTGGAAATTGACACCCCGCCCCGTTGCCATCTCTAGATAGACTAGTTCTCAAAATATTGAAGTCCTAAAAAAGTTGGGTACTCAATTTGGAATTCAGTTTTATCATTTATGTGCAATGTTTTTGGGAAGTATAGTGTGCCCAATTCATTTTAGCACCTGGGCTTTGATTCATTTGTCTTAAATATTTAAATGTCGAGAACTCGAGCTATTACTTTTTAGAACACCACCACTTGTACAGTGTTATCTACCCTCCACGAAGATTATTACTTTTTAGAACACCACCACTTGTACAGTGTTATCTACCCTCCACGAAGATTTCTAATATCCATCCGACCACTTTATGGTGCTTTTTCCTTTTTGAAGTCATATATGTTATTCTATAATAGCAAGTTCCATGAATGATCAACCTTGGATGAAAAAGATCGTAGATCATAGTTGAATTGACCCACCTCAAATGAAATAAATAATTGAAACCTCCATTGTTTGAGGTGGAATTTTCAAGTGGTGGAGGAGGATTCATAGAGAGTTGAAAAGGGCCAGTATTCAAACAAAATTATTTGAAGAAAAACATAAACTAAAGCTTTGACCCTGCCGAGGATAATAGTTCAAACCCAACTACCCACTTGCTATTAGATTTTATCTTAAACCAACTTTAGAAACATATTAGAATCGTGTTCGCAGGACGTCGTAAAAACTAACATATACAAATTTCGGAGAAACCGTCCAAGAAAATATGAAAATCAAAATAGAGCAAATACAAATGCAAAGAAGCCAAAATGATATTCTGTCGAAAGGATTTTGAATAGCAGTAGAAGCACAGAAGGAAAAACAAACAATTATGAAGTGAAATAGCAGCAACAAAGGTAGCTGAAGCAACTTGCCTAGCAAATTTGAATGATTCATGCTCAAGGAGAAGTCTATCATTATAGATTTCATTGCAACTGGAACTTAAGCAATGAAATGAACTTCACACTTATTTCTGAGTGGCTTCAGATGCAACAATTTCTGCAAGCCAAAATATCCGCAAGTGGAAATTACAATAAGCAGCACACTCATACACTACAAGCTCAACGTATAGATAAAAAGCGAACAGCAAATAAACCAACTGATTTCAGAATATTCAGCCTCGCTGAAACTACTCAGCCATTTCATATTTTGGTGTAGTTGACCTAGCTTTTACATTAACAAAAAATTGATAAAATTTCATGGAGAAAATATTCTGAAACACAATTTGTTGTTTCACTGGAATTTAGATCATTACTTCTTGTTCAGATAAGGGCCGAAAAAATGATTACACAGGAAAATCACTTTCTAATTAATTCTTATCTTCATAAGGATTCTAGATAAACAATTATGCATAGAGATCTCAATACCAGTGGTATTACCTTGAAGCCCAAATCTGAACTTACAAGGGGAAGCGCTGCGGAGAAAAGTCCACCTATTGGGTTGTTTATTGCACCGGTCTAGGATGAGCAATCAGGGTACAGGTGGCAAAATGGGCCGAGCAGCTCTCGAGCCAATGCACAAGTTGGTAGCAAAATGGGCCGAGCAGCTCTCGAGCAATGGACCGAGTTGAACTTAAATTATTTTTTGCAAGCCAATTCGTTTGAGCTCGTCGGCAGGCACCTTTTTTGCCACATTTATGAACATGTTTTATTAATTTTTTTTAAAAAAATAGCTTTCTTTTAGCTTATTTTGCAAATTTAATTTTTAAGGAAAAAAGCCAAGCCATCTCGACTCATATGGGTTCGTGGGCCACTCGACTCGTGAGGGCCAAACCCATATTTTGGGCAAGAGCTGAGCTCAGTTGTAAGGGCCAAGCCGGCCAATCACTCCTAAATTAGAGGGCGGTGCAATGTTGGTTGGGGTTTGCATTTTTTGTAGATGAAAACCAAAACAAAATCATTTTGGACTGATTTTCACATGGATAAATTTTGGATAGGGGGCATTTCACACCCTCTAGTTGGCTTAAGGCAAGAAGACCAAAGATCCCTTGCTTTAATGTTGACAGGCTATTGGATTTAAAATTTTAAAAAAAATGTTTTGAAATAGTTTGACTTGGTCTAATAGGTCAATTTGGACCTAAACCAACAGTTAAGAAAACATTGTCACAAATTCACAATGCAATGACAAGTTTTGCTAGTTAGGCAGCCATCTAAAAAAAACTAAAACTTAATCGACAATATCTGGTCAATATAATGGAAAACGTGGTTCCATTAGATTGGGCAGAGTATATGAACACCCACATAAGAGTAATATCCATCACATAAATATTATCATCAAAGGGAATATTATTTTCAGATTGGGTGTACATGACATATAAAGGCTACTATTTCTAAATCAATGCACAATTTATAATGCAAAATCACATAATAGATATTTCCATTCAAACCCCATGCATCCACAGAATAGTCAAAGACAGATAAAACTCAGATTATCAACCCAAAATACTGATAGAATTGACAAGAATAATTCAGTAACACGAGTAACTGTGAACTGAACTAAAATAAAATAAGTTTACGACCCTCATCAAGTCAATCAAACAGAAACTCACAATTAAAAAAGCCTAGATAATTATAATTGTTCGCATCAAATGATCTAGACAGAAAAAGTAAATTCAATAGACAATAAATCCTTTCCTCAATCGCCACCAGCCTTGTTGTAAACATAGGTGAGGCCACACTTACCGCAGTAGTGCCTGTCAAAATGGTTAGCCATGAAAGTTCCCGCACCACACTCAGCATTGGGGCATTCCTTGCGGAGCCTTTGGACCTTTCCTGAATCATCAACCTTGTAGAACTGCAGAACAGCGAGCTTGACCTTCTTATGCTTGTGCTTGATCTTCTTCGGCTTGGTGTAGGTCTTCTTCTTGCGCTTCTTGGCACCACCACGGAGGCGGAGAACGAGGTGGAGAGTTGACTCCTTCTGGATGTTGTAGTCTGCGAGGGTGCGACCGTCCTCCAGCTGTTTTCCGGCGAATATAAGACGCTGCTGGTCTGGCGGGATGCCTTCCTTATCCTGGATCTTGGCCTTCACATTGTCGATTGTGTCGGAGGATTCAACCTCCAAGGTTATGGTCTTCCCCGTTAGAGTTTTCACGAAGATCTGCATCTTCGCAGTGGAGAAAAATCAAGCTAGGGTTTTTTGGTTGCTCTCTATTTTTTTTTTTTTTTTGCTGTGTTGATATGAGGAGAATTTTTTCTCCAATTAATATATTAGGGTTTCGTGACATTTTTTGGTCTCACGGCTGTGTTGATATGAGGAGAATTTCGTCTCCAATTAATATATTAGGGTTTCGTGACAAAGCTGTGCGGGATAATGAGCCGTCTTTGGACTAAGATGGTAAGATGGGCCGATTTAAAATTTAATATATTGGGTAGGGTTTATATGGTGGGCTCATTTATGAAAAACCAAATTAGGTTTCTATTTTTAATTGGTGTACTTACATAAATACCCTTACTTTTGCGGTTATTTTGAAAAATTATGAACGTATTTTTTATGCACAAACCTAAATGAACAGCAGCAAAAAGACAAAAAAAAAAAAAATTGAAATTTGGTCCCTGATTTTTGCATTTGAAACTTTAAACACCTGAAATTCTTGAATTTCTCTTTAATATATTGGGTAGGGTTTAAATGGTGGGCTCATTTATGAAAAACCAAATTAGGTTTCTATTTTTAATTGGTGTACTTACATAAATACCCTTACTTTTGGGGTTATTTTGAAAAATTATGAACGTATTTTTTATGCACAAACCTAAATGAACAGCAGCAAAAAGACAAAAAAAAAAAAAAATCAACACTTCCAAGCTCAAGAAATAAAGGAAAATCGAAGGGTTTAAAGAGGAAATCTTGCACAAATCAAATACAAACAAGATCAATGATAACTTTAACTACCTTTTCTTCAAAGTTTTCTTCCCCAAATCTGCCAATAAACAACCAAAATTTACAGATTTTTATGTTTTGGATTTTTTGCTCAATTAGTTCCCAAAATTTGTAATTTTAAGATCGTTTGATACACTTGTTGCATAGATTGTGAAAGCAACAGTCGTAATGAGTAATTTCGAGTTGAATAATCTTCCACTAGAAAATCCTAATAATCTTAATGCATTATCCCCGTCACTTTCCTGTCAATTTTGTGATTATGTTTAGTTTTAAACCTTATAACGTAAATAATTGGTATTTATGAAGTTTCGTTTTTTATGGTTTTGATATTTTGATTGGAAAAATAGTTAAAAATAATATTGTTAATCTTGAGAGAAAATAGATTGAATTTTATATGAAAAATTACCTTTGAATCAATGCAAATGATACAATGTGTTCGTGAAAATGAGAATGTGAAAAAGTAATATTCTCTGTAACTTTTATTTGAAAAGGTCGAAGTAGATCTTAATTAAATTCCTTTGGAGTTTGGAGCAAATGTGTGTGTGCGAAATTTAATTACATGAATTCAAACCTTATTTTAGTTTAAATAGTGACATGAAATTACAATTTATTTGTATTGTTACATATGAGTTATTTTGTTGGAAATTAAAAGTGACATACTCTGTCACTTTTTTTTTTAAAAGTCTTACACAATTTCATATGTATTATTTTTTGCAGATATGAATAAAATTAATATCTTCGTTTGTTATGAAAGAAAATGACAACAAGATAATGAATATAAAATTTACAAAATGATTGAAATTGTTGTCCATATAGATTATATATAGAGCAATTTGGAGTGCATGATATTTTCTGTGATGAAATTAAGTTCAGCAATACAAGAATAAAAATACGATATAGAGTGAAGAAGAGCCTACATTTGATGGGGATTTCGAATGATGCTTTTCTAACATTTTAATTGGAGTTCAAGAGAAATGATAAACATTTTGCATCTTGCAACTTTCCATTGTGTGTAAATGTGATAATGGTATCAAAAAGTCACAGAACTAAATTTGTTGATGACATACAATGTTTGGAGGCTACCATTTTCAAAGAAAATGATATGATACAATTTTAGTTTTGTGAAACAGTAGTTGATAATTCCGTGACAACATAAATTCAAAAACAACCTCGTATCGAAGAAATTGTCGTCGATGTATATAGTAGCATATCGGGAGTTAAAGAAATGATGAATAAATGATGAAGTGATATCATTTTAGTTGTCACTATGGATGGAATTGCAAAAGATGAAGTGTTTAAGAACAAGACATTGGTTAAATATTTTGATATATGTGATACACAATAACTTTCAATTTAAGGTAAGTAAGTTGGACAAGAAAGAACATGTGCTAAAGTGTATAGATGATAAGTGCATTTCTTTTATAATTTCAAGATTGGAAGAACATATATGTTCAAGTTAAGGTATATAAAAATGATCATACATGATTAAATAACATCATCTTGGGAGATTATCGTCAAGCAACAAGCTCAATAGTGGGAGAATTCATCAAGTATATCTGAACAAAAATAACATAAACTCCCATAGACATGATAAGTGACAAGATGAATATATATATAGAGTGTCAATAAGTTATGAGAAAGCTCGGAGATTTAAGGAGAAAGCATTAAAATCAATGAGAGAAGATCTAATAGAGTCATATGAAAAACTTACAGAATACTTGTACATAATAGAACAAACAAATCATGGATCAATTACAAAAATTGAGATATATCTGGACAACAAATTCAAGTACCTCTTCATGGAGTTGGGTACATCTATTCAAGGGTGAAAGTATCATAGACCAATTATAGTAATAGATGCTATATTCTTAAAAGGCAACTATGTTGGAACATACGCAAAATGCTAATAACAATATCTTCATATTAGCATTGGAGTTGATGATTTAGAAATTAATGATTCAGGAAGTGGTTCTTAATTACGTTAAAAGAAGTGTATGGTGAGTGAAAATGATTGTGTATAATCTCTGATGGACATATAAGCATAAAAAATGCAATTCACAAAGTGTTTGAGAATGCAATGCATGGTCTATAGTCATATCACTTGTTAAAATTTTTGAATTCGTCTTTTGGTGGAAGAAAAGGGAAAAAAATATTGCACAATATTTCAATAGAGCTGCAAAAGCATATACGAAGAATGATTTTAAGTTCCATATAAAACAACTTGATAAAATCAATATTTGGATTTGGCCACAGCTAGTACATTAAAACTGTTAAAAAAAAAAAAAAAGGCTAAGTTGTCATTGTTATCATTGACACCATACAATTTTATGAAATTTAGTGTGTGTCACTTTTTGTTATCATTGTTATCATGGTTATATGTAGGAAGAATGTGACTTTTTTTAGAACGATTAAGGTAGAACACATTCATCATATAAGGTATGAACTTTTCGTGATAACTTACGTCACTTTTTGTTAAAAAAAAAAAAGTGACAAATCATGTCACTTTTCTGAAGATGATAATGATAATTTTTAATATTGTTAAAAGAGACTACATTGTAAAAAGAGACAAAGTTACTATTTTTTGTGATATAAAGAATAATATTTTGAATATTATTTGTGCAGAAAGATATTAATTATGATAAATGATCAATGACTTATATGACAAACGACAGATTTTCTACAATGATTTCAAATATAGTTGAATCGGTAAATTCGACAACAAACACAACAAAATATTGTGTTATAGAGCTTTTATTGGAATTATTAAGATACTTGTTACAAAAATGATTTGTGAAGTATATAAATGATGCACATGCAACTTTTACATTACTTGCAACTAAACGAGAAAAAATTGATAGAAAAATCCGCGAATTAAAGAAAATGAAAGTAAAAATCTATAAATTTGTTTTTCATTTGTTGTTATTTTATGTCGAGACTTATGTCGTTATGACATAATTATAGTAAAAAGTACAATACTCTGTCAATTGTCAATAAAAAGTTCAAATGTTTAGGATTTTAAATGACATGAAATTTTATAGGTTCATGTATTTTTGTAGGGTTAAATGACATGAAAACATGATTTGCAACATTTATTAATATTGAATGTTCATTTTAAATCCTCCTTTTAACATAAAATAGTAACAAATTAATTGATAGAGTGTTTTTTGTATTATTTACACAAACATCAACTTCAAGTTCAATTTTGTAACAAATAAATGATAATTGTGTCTCATATTTGTTGAATATGGAAGAAAAGACATGCACATGCAACCAATTTCAAGTTGACAAGATTCTATATGTACACGCACTTGTAGTTATTGCAAAAATTAAGGGAGATTCATATTCATGTTGTTCAGTATATTATACTACAGAGATGTACATTCAAATATACAGTGCAACAGTTTTCCCGCTTGGAAATCACAATGATTTAAATGTACTGGATGGGGTAAAAACAAGAATAGTCTTGACTCCTAATCCAAAAAGAAAATATGGACGATTTAAAGAAAAAATACCATTAAAGGAGAGAAATTTCAAACCACAAAATGTGGAAAGGATAGCCACAATCAGAGATCATTATCCAACATTTGTTAAGAAGAAACCACAAAAGAAAAGAAAGTCGGAAGACATATGAAATAGATCATTTGATATATATATTAGAAAGCTTTTCGGTTCAAATGGTTTAGATATTATTAAAATGGTTTAGGTAACATGTCATTTTTAAGTTTAAAGTATGTCACTTTTTAAAAAAGTGATGTATTTATGACTTCTTGTTTATTGCAACTTCTTATATGCTGGATGTGTTCTTGATGCTCATTTTAACGTAAATAACTATTTATTACTCTAAATTTCGAACAAATGTTGCCATTTGTCATTTTTAGCAAAAATAAGTGACGTAATTTTACTTTTTGAAGAAGATAATTCTTAACATTGATATGAAGTTCATATGCAATCACATCAACAAAACTACAATGTGTCCATATCTTTACACACAGGCTAAATTATGAAGTTCAATTTTTTGAAGAATGCAACATCTTTATGTTCAATCTCATGCCATTTTTGACATAGAATGTCACTTTTTATTAAAAAAATTGACATATACATATAATGTCATTTTTTTTGACATATAATCCCACTTTTTGACGTCTACGATAAAAACATGATATTCATCTACATAAAAATTGCATTAAACCATTCACGTCATACCAAAAAAAAATAAAAATCAATTGCCG